ATTCTCATCGGCTGCATCCTCATCATTACTATCCATTTTCAAATCACCTCTGGCCGCCAATTTCATAGTCTCCACATCGATATCATCTCCAAGTTCCAGATCAATGTCGTCCTCTTCATAATCGAGCTCCTCCTCGTCGGATTGTACCGAGGCGTTGGATGCAGGTGCACTGTGATTGGATCTTGCCGGAGAAGCAGCAGCAACTGGTTCCGCATTATTTTGAACTTGCTCATTGCTTTCATCGCCTTCGCCTAAAAATTGAAGAATATTATAAGCGTCTACTGACTGTAAAAACAGTCTGAAATGAAAAACTCACAAGAATCAACTTCTTCCAAACCCTGCACAGCGACAGCTTCGTCTTCTTCTCTGGTCTCATCAACTACCATCTTCTCATCCTCTTTTACTACTTTTTCCTTCTTTTCAACCGACTTTCTATCCTTCTTATCATCGTCACGCTTTCTCTCACCATCACGTCTTCTGCTGCTGCTGCTGCTAGTGGACTTCTCTTCCTTCTTGGGCTCCTCGTGTCTTCTGGACGATTTCTCATCCTTCTTTTCAGTGTCAACTTTTCTGGATCTCTCATCCTTCTTCTTGTCATTTTCGTCTCTTTGTCTCTTCTCCTTATCATCTTCCTGACGACGTGGAGCATCTCTGTGACGATCTCTAGAGTTGTGACGTGGACGTGAAGAGGAAGAAGACGTGGCAGACGCCACTCCGGTAGCATAGGACATTGGACGAGTGTCGACTGCTGGACGCTTCTGAAACTAATAAAAATTGAGGTTGAAAATTTTGTAAATGATATTCAAGGTGTTGAAATAAGAACAAGACAATAGTTGTCAACTGGTCTGAAATGGAGCTCGAAGTCTTTGCCTTATCTACATTCTGTAAGGACACCAAATAATCTCCTTATATGTAGCGTACTTAGGAAGAGAGGTAAGGAAAACACGTCTGTGATGTTCGAGTCCTAAAAATATCTGCTTGACTATGAGCCAAAGAATTGAAAATTCGGAGAATTCTAGAATTTCAAATATTAAATGTTTCTTCTGATTGAACGCGCTATCAATTATTATCAAATTGAAAACCAAACAACGGACAATACAACATTTCGGTGCAGAAAGACACTTTGCGCTTCGTTTCTTTTCCGGAGCACAAAGATAAAGGAGAAGAAGAAGCAGAATGCCATCAATCACTCTGATATGCACGCTCTCTTTTCTGTACAACCATTTTGACACTTTTATCATCACTTTGTTATCACTGATATATTTCCGTTGTTTGCACCGACCGGTGACGGCATTCGAATCTTTTCAAATGGGCGAATGCAGAAAATTGCCAAAAAGCGACGAAGCGACTTATATTATTTGAAGTGACAGGAAGAAATTGTGAATATGATTATGTGTACGGAAAAGTGTGAAAGCGACGGGGTGATAAATTTGGTTGGAGCGGAAGTTTACGATGTGCAAACTCTGAACCCCAGATGATGGTAAAGTTAGAATTGTTGACTGTTCAGGCAAAATGGTAAAAGGGACTTCTACAGCTTGGGTATATTCTAGATACCGAAACATTCGAAAAGGGTTCAAAATAATTACAGTGATTTAACGAGAAGCTACCACTCTACAAAAGTTGTTCACTTTGTGATTAAAGGTCGATGACACCCATTCCTATTGAAAGCTAAGCCAACGCTAAGACTAGTTTGAAATTTTCTTGAAAAATTGAAAAAGCTTACCATTTGTGGTCTCTTCCAGTCCGCATCCCTCTGCTGTTGATGATGACGTCCTGGTGATGAATGTGGGACGAATGGTGCTTGGATTCTGGCGGCGACGTTGTTGTTCGAGCGAGAGCGGTCCTGAAACGGTGAACAATTGAAGCCGATGCTCTCCGCCTTGCTTGTAGATTCTTGTCTGTGTTTCCCTCCTTTCTTTCAGTTTTAAGTTTTACTGAAGACGTGCTGAATACGAACCAGCGTCTTTTCTCTATTCTTCAGGTTTTCTCTCTGCGTCTCTCCCCACTCTCTGATGCTCTTCGAAGAAGACGGAACAAACTTTGGTATGGCGCCACAAGTGAAGATTCCGAAGACGTCACCTAGATGGGTAAGTTCTCCCGTTGCAAGATATCGAAAATTGTTGGATAAGAAGTCAGAAATCCATAGTTTCAAGACACTAGAGGAATATTTTGTGTTTGCTTTCTACCAACCACTGCTTCTCCTCTCCTGTCGTTGTGCTCCTGCGGTCGATTATGATCGTTAAAGCCGCCATGACGATGTTCAGGCGATCTGTTGCGTTGATTGTTGTCGAAACGACGTCTGTTTGGAGAGGAGTTCGCTGGTGGACGACGTGGAGACACTGGACGTTGTGGGTAGTGAGCAGGATTCACCAGACGACGTCCATCATTTCCGAATTGTGGAGTACGGTGATCACGGAAGGTTGGACGGCGGACGTCACGACGATCACGATCCTGGAAAAAAAGTTGACTTGGTTGACTTACTGTACTTGCTCTAATTGCTCTAGAAGCCCACGCAGTTCCTCAACTTTGAGCTCAATTATCTCGCTTCCTGTGAGAGATATCAAAAATTGGTCAACTGATAAATTGATCATGATGATATCACCAACATTTTATCAGTTAACAGATTTTTTATATCTCTCATAGTAACTGAGACAATTGAGCTCAAAGTTGACGGTTTGGGTGAGCTTCTATCCGAGCAATGGAATAAGATTTTCAAAAAACTCACTCTTCCGTTCATATTGCGATTTAATAAGATTGATAAAAGTCCTCTTTATCTGGTTGACTGTTTAACAAAGTTATTACTCTCTGAAAATCATGGATTTAACGAGAACGATAATAGAAGCGAAACGGAATGAAAAAAGCGGAACCGAGAAAACAACGGTAGCACAATGAACGATTATTAAATCATTTGAATAAATACATTATTCATTAAAGAGAGAAAAAATCAATGTGGAGAGAAGTCAAAAGAGATCCAAAATAGTAAAGAAACAAAACGGGAAAAAAGACAGTAGAGGAGACAATAAAATGAGAAATAGCGAATGGGGTAACCAGTGAATACAATGAACACAGAAAGAGGAAGGAGGCTATTGATTTTTTGTTTTATTGTGGGACCCAAATCGGTGCCAATGGGGCTGCCTTCACATTCTCTAGATCGACGCGTTTGTCGAGTTCCTCGTCGATTTCACCAATGATGGCTCTATAAATGATGGGTTACAGTTTGAAACGCAGTCATCTTTCATATGAAATAAGATTTGTTTCTCACTTTCATAGGCAAAAAACGTTCCGAAAGGACAGGTTTGCGGAGAACTACTTTTTTCTCGGTTTCGAATCGAATGAATTGGTAAGGAAAAGTGTGAAAATGTGGGAGGATTAAGTACGACATTGAACACATGTCCAATTCGTAAATCTCATCTTTTTTATGAGATATTCGTATTTGTGAGAAAGAAAGTTCGAAACGTTCTCAGCAAACCAGTCATTGCGAGAGGATGCAGAGAAATGGAGTATTTATCACTTGACATGTCGAGTGGGTTGATGAAAACGAAGAGGGCGTATGCTCCCTGTAAGGATATGACACTGTCTCGGAAACGGAAACTAAAATCATATAGAAATCAATTTTTAAAGCAGTCAGCAATCCACGTTAACCAGCTGACTTTTAGATTCATCGACCGGTAGAGGTAGATCAAAAGCTCTGAAGGAACACGAGAAGCTTCGATTGAATAGGGGAAAGCGGATACTTTTTTCGCCTTTTTCGTATTCTCCTGCCCGTTCACTATACCTTTTCTCGCTTCTTTTTTTGCCCGAGAAAGATGGAGAGTACAAACAATAGTGGCTTGCTGGTGGTGGTGCTGCAGCAGCTTCAAGCAATCATAATGGTCAAGCATCAGACAGCTTTTGGGGGGCGACAGGCGATTGGAAGTGATGTTTTTGACACGTCATTTCTCATATGCCGCATTTTCTGATTGCTCATGGTAAGGACTTGTTCTGGGTTGGGAAAAGTTACAAAGCAGAAAGTGATAAAACATGGGAAAATCGATAAAGTGCCAAACAATTTAGGTTCGAACAGATGCAATGAACATTTTCCGAGAATGATTTTTTTGAAAACCGAAATTTCTATTTTATTGATCGGCAACTGCGGGAAAATGCATTTTCCTTAATTTTTTTGCAAAAGACCTCAAAATGAGAAAACACGAAATTCCATTCTCAGGAGTGGCCATCGTCAGTTGTTATCAGTGTGTTCTGTGACCGACCCCTTGATGATTGGCTATCTATTGGAAGAGAATGGAACGAAAAAAAACGGAATCCCTTTCAGAAATTAGGTCAACTGAATCATTGCGCGTTTTATCGTCAAAGCTTGAGAAAAAGGACGAAATGAAAATTTAGTGGGTCCGGATAAGTATTGACTGGAAGAGAGAAAGAGCAGTGAGAGAGACAATTCGAAATAGAAGCGTAGAGAGAAGAAAAAAGCGAGACTAGGGGGTGAAGGCGTAGGGAAAAGCGCAGAAGAGCGCACTTGCATCATTAACCGGGGTGTGGAAATTTACGACCCGGGAAGTTCTTATATAAACTGTACATAATACGTTATTCTTGCACCGATTTTGCACTTGGTGTTCATTGAAAACAACTGAAGCGTTGTGAGAAAACAAATATTTACACCGACTTGCTCGAGTTAGCATAAATCTGAACATGTTCTTCTAAACTAGGCAGACAGTACGCGACGGCTCGCGTGAATTGTTCTTTTGTGTTTCGAAAGAAATCATTGGAACACAGTACACGGACGATTTTTCGGACGGAAAAATAGGGTTGACATTTCATCCGGAACTTTGGCTTGTTTGGGAACAGTGAGAACAGAGATCGAGAGCAAAAAATGATATTGCCTTATGTGGTCATCGAGAAAGTCCAATCAATTCAAAAGATACTAATTTCTCAGCCTTATTATGGCCTTATGCCGAGCACGGAAATGATCAAAGAGCTCATATGCTTTTTGCTACACGACTGGATTGACGCGATGCTCGGCAATTGAAACAATCGGTCAGTTGTGAGAGGGAAAAAATTTGCACGGACGAAAGGGATGTGGGCCGCACGAAAATAAACGTTTCCAGGACAAGGGTGTGGTGTTGATCGTTTGACCCGGAGTACCACTTCCTGGAACGAATGGATTGAGGGCGAATGAGACTTAGAAGTAGGCTTGAAACCGAGAACTGATTTCAACGAAATGGAATTTCAACTTTTTAAATAATTACAGTTACAGACATGTATGCTTCTTTGTGAGATCAATGTTTTGAATTTTAAAAATCACTCACACATTTTCTCCTCGAATAATGTAGAGTCCCAGCGGTGTGATTAGAACTCCGTCTGTCTCTGAATAACACCGTTCGTGGGCATCTTCGATGACCAGGTTGATTAATTGATCGAATCCCTGTAAAATCGACATTTTTTGTTTAGAAATTTGAAAAAATGGCTCGAAATACCGTGTCCAAAGCAAATTTCAAGGATACATTTCTTAGGAAAACGTTACCCAAAGCTGCCATTTTTTCCAGATTTCCAGACACTAAACTACGGTATCTCCGTTGTGTTTCTTCTCTGAAACCCGCCGGAAATCTAGATAAACTTCTTATTTTTTGATGGTTTCGTAGAAAAAAACACAAAACAAATCGATTGATATCGTAGTTTTGGCAGCTTTGGGCAACGTTTCAATGAGAAAATTTTTCTAGAAATTCACCTGGACGCGGCAAAACTCTAAGCTGTTTGAAAAAAAAGTGGGAAGCAATACTATCGTACTGATTTTCTTTCGAAAATTCTTTTCAAACTTATCAATAACGATGTTTTTTCAATAACCCATGTGCTACCTTGAGAAGCCCGACGATTACTCGTCCGTCTCCAGTGACGACGTTCACCATGCGGTTCATATATGATTCAAGAGTTGATGTCATTTTTCTGTTCTGCAATTAACCCGATAAGCACAAATTCATCTCTATCGCAATTCTTCAGATATATTCACACGGAAACTCACCTGTTCTTTCAAACATTTTGTTGAAAATAAGAACAATTAGATATCTTTGGCAATATAGTAACTAGTCCTCAAAAATTTCATTCTCAGCTTAATATCAACACATGTTTGACATGAATCAATCATACATTTGAATAGTGAACGACAAATTCTGTGTCAAACACTGATGCAGTCATTAGAATCGGTTTGGGGGTTTACGGGTGGGGCGGATTTACGGGTGAGATTGGCAAAAACGATGGTGGGACTGATTGGGTGTTGTGAGATTAGACGAAGATTGGACACCTGACTGTTCATCAGATACACTTCAAACATGAGATAAACGGTTTAACAACTAACTGTACAATTCTAAATGAGATGTGGTATACAAAACAAGGAGAATCATACAGTCTAATTGGATACCAGTTCCTGAAAAAAGGAAGTAGCACCATAACAACAACTAAATGATGGTTCGGGGGGAGAAGCATACAGACTTTAGAAAAAATAGAAGTTTCAGCTTCTTTTTGATGTTCTCTTGGGAACGAAACAAGCTGAAACAACTTGAGAACAACAAAAATCGACTGTAGGGAGTGGTGAGAAATACTTCTACACATTGGGCGGTTATAGGAACTTTTAGAAAAAAAATCATCTAAAACAACAAAAGTGGTATTATTATTCCTGGAGTTATTCAAACCCATCGGCGGACAACTGTAAGGGTAGAGAACCGACGAGTCTCTGGGTGAGGATCAGAAAAAACAAAACAAATGGGTTCGATAGAAGAAACTTCGGGAACGACACATCTCGTATCGTCGTTGCCAAAAATTAGAAAGAAAAAATTCGCACGTTAGAATTTAGGGACGACAATCAACTGCTTATGTTTGAGTTTAGGCATGAGGACAAAGAATTTGGTGACAATTTTAAAAGATTAGGTAGGAAAAAGACAGGAATTCTGAAGGGGAAAACGGTGAAGGCTTTTCAGATGATGAGGTGAAGTTCAGAAGGCACTTTTTAGAACTGTTGGGCTTGAGCAGCTTGTTGTTGTTGTTGCTGCTGTTGTTGCTGTTGTTGTTGGAAGCGTGGTTGACCGTTCGATTGTCTGGCTCCTTGTCCTTGCTGGAAGTCGAAGCCGCTGTTGTTTCCTGAAAAACCTGGTGAGATTGATTTAGGTGAATTTTTAAAATGTTTCCCCACAATGTGTGTTTTGACTGGAATAATGAAGCAATGTAAAGTAAATTCAACTCACTCTGGTATCCACTTCCATATCCTTGAGAAGATCCGCTGTTGTTATGGTGGGCTCCTTGTTGTCCATAGTAGCCATTTCCGTACCAATCTCCCCAAGCTCCAGTAGTTCCGTATGGAACAGCTCCGATCTGTCCCCACCCGGCGTACCATGCGGAGTTGTTGTTTCCGCCTCGTCCTCCATACATTCCACGACCTCCTGGCATGCGTCCTTGGCCTGGTGGGAATCGCTTTCCTTGTGGAACAGCCTTCTTCACATCACATTCGCGAGTTCCGAAGGTTTGCTTTGTCTGTGAAGATGCCTTGTCAGCGGATTCCTCTTCCTCGAAAACGATGAAAGCGAAATTACGGCGGGTCTTGGTCTGCTTGTCGAATGGCCATTCGATATCATCGACCTTTCCGAACTGTTCGAAGTGAGTGCGGAGCTCAGCTTCGCTGTAATCTGATGGAAGACCTCCAACGAAGACCTTCTTGTTTTCCCGGGACTTGGCTGGCTTCACCTCAACCTAGAAAAACAACTTTAGGTTTTTTTCAAAGGTAAATCCAATTTCAGAGCTCTCTCTGGTTTTATAGAAGGAGTTCCTAAATAAGCTTATAAAACTTACAGATTTTCCTTTGATAGTTTGTTCGCGAGCCGAGAGAGCCAACTTGCATCCTTCTCCGGTGGTGAACTCGACGAATGCGAATCCTCGGGAGCGGCCGTTAGTACGGTCGTACTTGACCTGAGCTTGAGCAACCTCTCCGTACTTGGTGAAGTGGGAGTTCAGATCTTCGTTGTTGACTTCTGGCGAGATTCCACCGACAAAGATCTTCTTGTCCTCGTTTCCCTTCGTCGAGTGTCCATTTTCCTTGATAGTCTCAGAGGCGTTACCGTTAATCTTGTTATCTGTACCTTCCATTTTTACTACTATCTGAAAATTCAAATTATCAATCGAAACAAAATACAGCTCGACTCACCTTACTTTACTTTATAAGAACGAATAAAGTTAAAAAGCCGGATAAAAAAGCCTTGAATAAAAAAAATGTAGCCGTTAAGACTATCTAGAAAATACCCTGAAAAAATTAAAAGATTAATGAGTTGTAACATATTTAATCCGGTGAAATACAGAAAGATTCGAGAACGAGATTGTCGGCCTAAAAAATTTTTCTCTGCAAAAACCATGCATTTTTAGTTCATAAAAAGCATATTTTCATGTGCAGAACAATCCGTAGGTTAAATTCATCAATTAAAAAAATTTTTTGAAGCCGATTTTCAGAAAAAAGATCAAGAATTCGGCGCTACGCCCCTTTCGGATAAGGTTTCCACTAAAAACTGCAGGACCTACGGTAATGCGCGGCGTCAGCCCGTCGCCGCGAGACCTGTCGTCCTTTCGCCGCCGTGTAGTCCTCTCGGACGAAAAATCGGCAATTTCGACTCTTGTCAAGCGCAGTCGGCAGGCGGTTTTCTGCCAGAAAATGCCGCTGTTTTGCGGAAAATTGAGAAAAATGTGTTCAGAGAGAATGTTACACTTAATAATCGCATAAGTGTATCGATTTGTTGCCGGGGAATGAGATCTATGACGAGCAGAAACACATTTCGATTGCTTTCTCGTTTTTAATAAATCTGGTGCAATTTTATACTCATTGTTGGGGAAGGAAACTATTTTCTTCACACAGCCGAGTTTAAAAAAGAAAATTATTTATGAGAACCAACCTATCAAAAGTATAAAGAGTATAAAGGTGACCTATTCGTAATCCCACGAGTGCAAATAGTAGGGAACAGGCTTTGTAAACATATTTGGATCATAAACCACGTCAGTTAAATAAAGACCCTGCGGAGGAGCTACTGGGATTCCCATATCGTAAAAGTTCGAGCTGATGGGATTTTTCAGAAGCCAATTCACAGTGGATAACGGGATTCGGTCATACGAATAGTTCACCAAGCACGAAATCATTCTGCGAATCTGAAATTTTAGATTTTTAGATGCTAATCCAACTTCTTGGAAATTACCTGCTCTCGAACAAATGACTTTGCTACAATTGTCACATTGTAATAATCATAAATGTCATTTTCTACCGAATAAGCTTCTCCGTTGGACAATCCAACGTAGAATATGTATTTGAGAGCCGAAGGTGATATAGGTTCGGTACGTTTTTCTCGATTTGTATGCTTGAAGAACGATCCCATTACTTGCTCGCCTAAAAAGAGCAAGTTTTAAATAGGTATAAAAACGATTCGATCTCACCTTCGAAAATTTTTCCGGCTCGCAGAAGTCGTTCAGGTGAGAATCCTGGAGGTAGTCTCCACGCGTAATCTCTTTCGGAGAAACAAGCAATAGAAGGTTCTTGTCGAATAGTATCCCATAAATCCCAGGAGCGGCATACTGCTAACCGATATGTGTACTTTCTGGAATAGAAGAGAATAGAAGTGGGCTTCTTCAAGAGGAAAGAGATGTTAAAAGTGCGAGTCATGTGACAGAGTTCTCCGTTGTCAATGGATACTCGCATGGAAGAATAGAAGAAGAAACGCAGAGAAACGCTATTTTTGAAGAAGAAGAACTTTTTGATGTAGAGATTACCTATATGACACACTTCTTCTGATACAAAATCCAGCAGAGACAGAGTGTGCATCTAGGATTTCTAGAGATCCCGGATTTGCGGCGTCAATGATTGATTTCCATGTTCTCATGTATTGGATCTTAGTTTCGGGACATTTGTCTAGATCAGCGAATTCCAATGGAACCTGAAACGAAGGATATTGATGAAACAAGCCAGGCAAAATTTACCTGGCAAATTACGGAACTTCGAATCGCATGAACTTTTGCATCAGTTCGACTGCTTGGAGAAAACTTCAATTTATCCTTTTGCTCTGGGTGTTGCTCTCTTCGCGGTCCGAATATCGACTGTGACACTGTCTGAAAAACAATTACCAAGCTTGTTCGATTTCCTAATGTAAAACCTGATTTAGAAGATCCATAACACCGAATCCGGTTCCACCTTTCGCCATTTCGGGAAATTTCGATCCATCGTAACGGATCCAAAACAAATATCGCCGAATTTCCCTCATGATTTCAGTTGTTTCAGTGATTATTTTCAAATGATGAGTTCTCCGAGAGGACTACACGGCAAACAGTTTCAGGCGGCCTAGGTTCAGCAGATGTCTGTGTCTCATCAATTTGTATTGTGTCTTTGAGGAAAAAGAAGAGCGAAGTTTGAAATGGTCTTTAAATGCAAGAATTTTATTCAGAAGATCGAAAGGGTATTGAGTGATAATTTCAGATTTTAGCTTGGCTTCACCGCTTCAGCAGACCATTTCCAACTTGATTCCTTTGTCATCTTTTTTCCAAAAAAGGTTCCTCCTTCCTCCACATTTGATCAGCTATAAATTTTGTTTTGCTTCTCTTAAAATTTGTGGTGTTTGAAAAATGAAGACTGCGAAAAAATTATTGGTTATCACCTGGTTCCCCGCTGAGTTTAGTTGTAATCTGGATTTTCAGAGTTTTCTTCCTTTTGAGAGAATCTACCTTGGTCTTTGAGCATTTCTTCAGCATAATTTCAGATTCTAAATATCCTCTACAGTGGATTCCCACATCACTTTATCCGTGATCTTCAAGATGCCAAATTGCTCCGAATGATTTCATGGCTTTGTTGACAGTTGGCACAAAGCTATAATTGTCCATTTCCATTACCCCATGATCCAAAACGTCAGACACATTTTTGCATTTTTTCTGCTCTCCAAAAATTTAGTTAAGTTCCAAAAAGAGCATTGATTGAGGTCTAAAATTTTTTCATATATTCTGAAGATGATTTCAGGTGTTCCATGGAATTCTAGATATTTTCAGAAACAAATAACAGATGATTTTCATTTTTGTAGTCATTATTTTTCAGTTTTCTCCGTTTTCTCAAGTTATTTAAATTTTTCTAGTTATAACCATGAGAAAAGTTATTTGAGCTTCAAGAATTCTATAAATATTTCAGATGAGTTCTCCGTCTCCAGCTCCTTTTGTACCTCCTATTTGGCCTGCTACCGTATTCTATCTCTCATCTATTCTAATACTTCCTCTGTATTTTTTTGTTTTCATCTCACTTTTTAGTCTTCGATATGTCTCCAAAACTTATAACACTACTTTTTATACAATTTTGTTACAACATGTAAGAATTTTTTTTTCGAATCGAAGGAAAGAAGATACCGTAATACTTGTATTAGAAGGGTCGGATCTCCTTCTACAGGTATTACGGTACCCAATTTTCAGTGTATCGCGGATCTGTTCGCAATGTGTTTCTATTTTGTGATAATAGTGGCTCGAGGAATAACTTTTATAAGAGAGTTATACTTTGAGTATCAGGAGTTTTATATAGCCGCAGGTACCGTAATCCTGTTAATTCTTTAAAAACATAAATCTTTCCAGCAGCCTACAACCATATTTACTACACCTTGTATATCCGATGCTCCGGAATAGTTTTGCTTTCATTTCAGCGTTTTCTAGTGATCAAATACACACATACCAAAATCACTACAGTAACCAAAACATTTGATTAAAAAACATATTTTGAGATTCGATAATTTTTAGAAAGTTCAATCTGCACCAAAATGGGCAATAATAGGTGTCTATTGGGTCGTTCCAACTCTGATAAGTTTGGTAGTTTTGAAAGATACAAATTTCAAATATGAAAGTTTTGAAACGATGGCTGTAATTGCTGAACAAGAGGTGATACAGGTTAGGGATCAAAGAATTGAAGCTCTTTAAAAATCAAAAATATACATTTCAGAGAAACACATTGATGGCTCTAATTATTGTCAGTTTGACTTGCATTCTGTGCTCTGTAGCTTACGGAGCACTGTATATTTTTGTCCGAAAGAATTCTGTCAGACTGTCCAAGTATGATCCGGGTTTCAGATTAACTTTTCAGAAAACCATTTCCAGATCTCTCCGTCGAGAAATTTCTCTTGCAATTCAAGTTTTTATTTTACTTTTGGCATTTTTCGCAATCCTTGTTTACTATTCGTTTCAAAACTATTTCGCGCAGACTCATAATGTATCGTGAAATCTATAAAAGATATAGATCCCTAACTTTTAACTTTGAGCTCATATATCTCGTTTCCTGTAGAAGCTATCGGAAAGTGATCAACTGATGAAATGTTAACCATCATTTCAGAAGTGTTTGGTCAGTTGACGCATTTCAGATATCTTGTATTGGAACGGAATAGAGCTCAAACTTGACAATGTGGGACTGAATTTCAAAATACTATTTTCCATACTTGTAAAATTCCGGGCCAGTCCTAATTGGGCCTTCGAAAATTTGAAAAAAAAAGCCCGGCCTGTTACAAGTATGTATGATATTTTCCAATTTTTCCAGACAGGACCCATTTTCTACATGCGTGGAATTTATCCAATGGCGAATGGGTTTCTCTCATATATGAACCCGTTTTGTATACTATTCCTCAATAACGACCTGACAAAACAAGTGATCAGATCATTGACTTGCAAAAAATTCAAATTGGTTAAATCAGATTTCTAGATACTGTAGGTGCAGATTGAAGATTTCAGAGTGACGCTCAAGTATCTGGAATAATTTCAAATTCGAGCAAGCAGCAACAAAGGAAGGGTATCAATCAAGTCACTTTTTTGAGGAAAGTTGTTTATTGATCTATTGTGTCTATTGATAAATCATGATTTTATCTGTGAGACCATAGTTTTTGATTAAGGTAGTTGTCGTTGTGAGTCCTTCGGCCATGGCCGCCTTCGTCTCTCTTCCACGGCTCTGTTATTTTGTACCAGATTAATGATGAAAATTGAACACGGGCTCATTTTAAAATTATCCATGTGAAATTGTACAGATGTCAACACTTTTAATGTTTCATTTGCTCGTTTGTTAAATTTTATCGATGAGAACGTTTCCACCACAAAAAATTCGATACACAACCGAAAGGAGCAACACAGACAGCCCAGAGATAGACACAATTAGAAGACCGACGAGTCCAAATAAGAGATGCATCGACATCGAAATTTTTTTTTCGGACAACGGACACAGAGAAACGATCATCGAAGAAATCGACAGAAACTTATGGATCAACCTAATAGAAAACAACGGATTACGGAAAACGGACAACGAGAAACCATGTCCGAAAAAAAAACGCACAAGAGCAGCAAGAAAAGCGAGAAAGACACAAAAAACCACACAAAAAATGCAAGTTCACGAAGTTCTGACAACACGACGCCGACTCCTTCACTCTTGTCCCGGGACACTAGAAATCTGAAATTAAACCAATTTTAACCAATTTTTATTTTATTTCTTGTCACCTCATCGGATTTGAATGAAATCCTGTCGAGTACCGGCGTCACTGCTGATCACTTCCTGAAGTTATTCTACTGTAATAACACGGGGTTGCAAACGGGTACATGCGTGGAATTTGTTTGAGTTCTCTCGGGTGCGTTTTTGGGAACGCAGTTCTACGTGGCGCCGCAGTGCAAATTATCACTGAAAAACTCTTTGCCAACTGCCTTTCGTAGCAATTTTCGTGGAATTCCGTGGCATTCGCAGCAAAGCGTGCTCGATTCGAGTACCCGTTCGCAATCCCGTGTAATAAGAGTAGCAAGTTTTCCAAGTATCCGGGAAAGGATTACTTAAAAATGTGGTATTTGGAAATTCAATTTTTCGAATTTTAAAATTTTGAAAATGTTATATTTTACGTGAAATTAGTTCTAATTTTTTTTTTGATTTTTGGACACATTTTCATCTAAAAATGCAGCCCCGTAGATGTAAAAAGTTTTGAAACTGGCGGTTTTTTCGCTTTGAAAATTCCCATTTACTCACTTTTTTTGCTACTCCTGTCATTTTGATTCGAATCCTTCCCATCCTGCAATGTGCCATCGAAGCCGTCCTCAAGGTCCTTGAAGTTGGTCTCAGAGTCCAATCAGCCCCTGTAATAGGAATGTTGAAAACTAAGTGCTAAATAACTTTCAATTGTCTAAAGCATAGATTTTGTTCCTACTTTGTTATCACTGGTCCCTTGAAATAGCAGTTTTCCAGTTTTCTAAGTTCGGTCGAAAAAAATTGTCGTGCTTTGTCGTTTTTTTTCATAAAAAAAGGAAAATTTTCTAACACGAGAAACTTAATTTACCAATTCCCATTTCCTTACCTCTTTTTTTGTTCCGCTACTCCTTTCATCCTGCTTTGAATCCAGCCCAACCTGTGTCGTTGAAGCTGTCCTCGAAGTCCTTGAAGTTGGTCCCAGAGACCATGCATCTCTGCAACTTGAAAGTGTCGTATCTTTACCAAATCCCACTTTCTCACCTTTCGTTGTGTTCTGCAACTCCTGCCATCTTGTTTCCAATCCGTCCCATCCTGTGTCCTTGAAGCTGTCCTCGAAGCTCATCAAGTCGGTCCCGGAGTCCAAGCATCTCTGCAACTTGAAAGTTTTGTAACTTTACTAAATCCCACTTCCTCACATTCCATTGTGTTCTGCTACTCCTGCCATCTTGTTTCCAATCCGCCCCATCATATGATGTCACCTTGAAGCTGCCCACGAAGTCCTGGATGTCGGTGCAACCTGGAAACCAAGAAGATCCTGCAAGATCCTGAAAGATCCTGCAACTTGAACGTTGTAAACCTGATACTGATTTCCTCTATTTGATATCTTCTACAGGAAATAAAATAAATGAGCTCAAAGTTGACGATTACGGTATTTACACGGCTCGTTATATGTTCAGTCGTTTTTGGGCATCTTCCGACCAGAACCTTGCCAATATCCGTTCATAAGACGAAGACCCCTCAACTTTTGACTAGAAAATACAAGCTAGCAGTCTAGTCAACAGACAGATCTCTGATAATTTCCTCATCTGACTTTTTGAGCAACCTGTTCCATCTGAGTGATTTCTACTACAAGTACATGCATTTTCCGGTCACGAGTCTCTTATTTTGTTTATGCGTATCTTTTTGCTTTTGTATACGTAGGTGTGTCTTCAGATTCAGCTTGCTCTGTCTCTCTTTTTTTCAGACCATGACTAAATTTCGATTTTTCGAATTTTGATTTTCTTGAAATTTTTATCCCACGGTGTCTACTAGAATCTTGTAGAAATTTTTCTGAAATTTTGTTTTTGAGCATTCGAAAAGATGAACCAAACCACCAAACCACCAACCTGGGGCTTTCAAGTTTATTATGCAATGTCTATTGTTACGATTCCCATCTATTTGGTGATATTTGTCTGTATTCTACGATTGAGATGCGTCTCGAAGACTTATCAATCAACTTTTTATTCACTTTTATTGCAGCATGTATGTTTTTTAGATTGCCTCACCCTGTAATCGAAAAGCCCACCACGCTGTCAAGTTTGAGCTCAATTATCTCGGTTCCGTCAGAAGAGATCAACAATTTATTAACTGATAACTGATTCATAATACCACCAATATTTCATTATGTTACTACTTTTTAGTATCTTTCACAGGAACCGAGATGAATTGACTCAAAATTATAAGCTAGGGGTAGCGTTCTATTAGAAGGTTTATGGTGTTTCGGGATTGTTTAAGGAGACAAACGTTTTGCCTGATTTTGTAATCACATTTGAAATTCGAAACCTTCGATTTACTGCAGATCAAGTTTTCGTATTCAAGTTCAGAAAAGTACTTCTAAATTGAATATAAACATTCGAGGTTCCAAAAGTTCAGGTTAAAAAATTTCCTTCCTTCTCTGACGTACCTCTGAAAATTTGGTTCTTGCTACGAACCACAGAGACAGTTCAGTTCAACTCTTATCACAAACTATGACTGACTTTGTCTGCAGACACCTAGTACATTGTAGATGTTTTCAGTGCATCGCTGACTTGTTATCAATGGTTGGATACCTTGCTCTAACCCCCGCACGAGAAATCCCGGTGATTCGTCAGTTCTATTTCGACAACCAGGAATATTACATCGCTGCTGCTACCTACAATATCATATACTACAGTTTGTATGTTAGATGTACTGGAATTATTTTCTTGTCTCTTCAAAGATATTTCATTATCACATCTCCACTTTCAAATTTCAGTTTGGTGAGTAGTCAGATCGGTAGATCTCATGATCGTTTATTATTTTAGCTGATTCAAAGTGCTGAGAATTGGAAAATCGTCTTGGTTTACTGGATGACTCCAACTATTTTGAGTATTGTTGTACTCAAAGATTACGAGTTTCATTTCAATAATGTAGTAGAGATGACTCTTATTGTCGACAAATCAATCACACAGGTAGAACACAAAATACCCGAGCTGGAAAAATAAAACAAATTGTTTCAGAGAAACACAGTGATGGCTTTGATTGTTGTCAGCATCACATGTATTGTGAGCTCAATTGCGTATGGAGCATTGTTTATATTTCTAAGAAAAAACTCTTCAAAACTGTCAAAATCTCTTCGTCGAGAAGTTCATCTTGCATTCCAAGTTCTGGTTCTCTTCTTGGCGTTTTTTGCTGTTTTCGTTTTCTTTGCCTCTCTCAACTACCTCACGCAATTGCAAATGGTAAGAAGGGAAACAAAGAATTGGTAAAACTCATCAGAGATTTCAGATGGATTGGGTATACTATATTCGTGGTATTTACCCTATGATAAGTGGGTTTTTATCTTATCTAAATCCGTATTGCATCCTGATTTTGAATCGAGACTTGTCCCGTCAAGTTATCAAATCAGTTAGATGTGAAGGCTACAAAGGCGTAAGTGTAGGAATTAAAGGAAATTTATGATACGTTTCCTTCAGAGTGAAGCACAAGTATCTGGAATAGTGTCAAACGCTACCAAGCCAACCGCGGGAAGTACAAATCTGAGAGGACCGGGAACAACTTTGGCACCAAAAAAAGTTACATTTTGTTAACTGTATTTGGAAATAAATGTTTTGAAAATCCTTTAAACTGATTTGAAAAGGTATTCGTAAAGTGAAGAAGAGCTTATCACCAATTAGTATTGCTGGTTGCTAAAAAAATGGGAACAATTTTTTAATTTTTGATTTGATATAAAATAAAGATATAAAAGGCTGAACAGATTCAACAACAAGGAACTAGCGAAAAAACGTTGGGTAGAGAGATGACGTTTCGAAAGTCAGAGAACGTCTCTATTTTGAGTTACTGCCTTCATTCGTTTCGTATTTTCATGAGTCATTTTTTTTTGTTCAGAAACTTCTAAACTAATTTTATCAGCATTGTATAATTCATAGTATCACTGTGCTTTTCTGAACGTCGTTCAAATGTGCTCAAATGCGATTACCGTAACACTACAGTAAAATTCGCGTTAGTCTCGACGCGAAAGCTTCAAATTGAACTGCTGAGTCGCTAATTAGCGGTGCCTGCATTCCATCAGAAAACGCGGGTCAATGTAAAGAAAAACGTTCTGGAAAAAACACCTCGAATTTCACAAGCAGTGTAAAATTTAGGTAAGTGGTGTTACGGGAATTGAATGGACTATGCGAATTATTATGAGAACTGCTATGGGATTCAGAGAATTAGGCTGGGGCTTGAGAATTCGATGCTGTTTTGAAAAAAGTCTGTCTCAATAACACCAGCACTTTCATAGTTTGTAGATTTTTCGATGTTCATCATCTGAATCATACAGAGCCAGTCAACCAAGAAGTGCTTTCAATTTTGATTTTACATTTCCTCAGCCCCTCACCTTGTTTATTCCCATCCCCTTTGATTCAGTTACATGCTTTTTTTGTTTCGTTTTCTCACGATGCTCTTGTCTTCTGATAACCAGATTTATACTCTCACTTTTGTTGCAAAAAACTTTTGTCTTTTTCCGATTTCCGATCTATCCCCGGAAATTACTTTTTCTATGGATACCCGTTAATCTATTTAAATAAGTGTTGTCATCATTTTTTTGCAGATGAATAACTCTTTGGAACCCCCACAATGGGGTTTCTATGTGTACTATGGAATGTCGATTGTCAGTCTTCCATTGTATTTATTGATTATCGTTTGTCTGTTATGTCTTCGAGGCGCTTATGCGGTTTATAAATCAACATTTCATTCATTACTGTTGCAACATGTAGGTTTACAGTTTCAAAAAAGTTCAATCACTGATTTGTGTGCATAACAGAAACAATTTTGACTTTTTTGAGCTTGCCGAACAGAGAAATAAGAAATAAACTAAGAATGGAAAAAAGGGATTTGGGTATACTGAAGTACCATAATACCTGTAATAGAGGTATACTGAAGTACCATAATACCTGTAATAGGGCCCCACACATTGTCAAGTTTTAGCTATTCTTGAATTATCTCAATTCTTATGCAAGATACCAAAAATGACAACTTGTTATTTTTTTGGAAAGGAACCAAGATAAATTTACTGCAAGTTACAAGTTACGGACCCTCCAATTGAAGTTTTTACGGCAAGCTTGAATATGGTTCCGGTAGTTTTTAATCTCAAAAAAGTTCATAACATAAAACAATCTACAAGGAACCGAAAAAACGAAGGCTTTGATCCGAAAAGTTTAGTCATGAGAACCAAATAAAACACAAAACACTAACTATACAAAACACAAAATTTCGTTTAAAGTGTATTGCTGATATGTTCTCAATGCTTGGATATATTCTTCTTTCTCCTGCTCGAGCCATCCCGCAAATCCGACAATTTTATTTTGAATACCAAGACTACTACATCGCTGCTGGTAAGATTCTACAGAAATCAATCTAAGCCAGTCAAACTTTTCCAGCAACCTACAATATCATCTACTACACCCTGTACATTCGATGCACTGGAATAATCTTCCTCTCTTTGCAACGCTATTTGGTTATCACTCTTCCTCATTGGAGTCTAACTACGGTAAGAGAAAACACCCTGATAAAATAAAACTTTTTTTTGATATTATTTAGAAAGTTCAAAAAGCTGAAAACTGGAAAATTATACTGGTTTACTGGATAACACCAACGCTTTTGAGTATTGTTGTTCTCAAGGATACTGATTTCAAATTCGATGGAATTGAAAAAATGGCAATCAATGCAAGTAAGGAAATTATTCAGGTAAGAACCAAAAATGTTAAATTTACGAGGATACGATTTCAGAGAAATACTGTGATGGCTTTGTCTGTGGTAAGCACCACTTGCATTGTTAGCTCTTTAGCTTACGGAGCGTTGTTCTATTTCGTGCGTAAAAACTCTTCCAAGTTATCAAAGTAAGAAACAACTCCTTTGGATTCTAGCCGAGAACCAAATCCATTGAACATTCAGATCTCTTCGTCGAGAAGTTCATCTTGCATTCCAAGTTCTTGTTCTTCTTCTGGCCTTTTTTGCTATTCTGGTATTCTATGCGTTTCTGAATTATTTTGCGCAGACTCGTAATGTGAGTGTCAGACGCCTATTGACTGCTAATTGTAAGAAAGGTTCCAGGATGGTCCAGTCTTCTACATGCGTGGTCTCTACCCAATGGCAAATGGTTTTCTATCATATATCAATCCATTTTGCATTTTGTGTTTGAATCAGGATTTTACTAGGAAACTCATCGGTTTGGTTACTTGCAATGTGGTAGGTCAATAATCCAATGGATTTGAATGAACTAAAAATTTTCAGAATGAGGTTAGAGGGTCTGGAAAAGCGACAAACTCTAATAAGAAGGTAAATGTGACACTCGTTCAAATTGAGGAGACTCGACGATCAGTGGTCAGTTAGGAATAGGACTTGTCGCTGCCAATAAGTTAGCTTCTTTTTTTTACAAGTGTCTATAAATATGATTTTTTTTTAAATTTTTGATAATTTTGACTGAATTTCCGAGTTTCCGATTTTCAGATTCTCGGAACTTCAGAGCTTGAGTATTTTAAAATTTAAGAATCCTAGGATATCAGACTTTGAGAATTTCAGAGCCTCGGAGTTTCAGAATCTCCAAATTTAACAAGGGAGTTACTTGAGGGAGCGGGTTTAACTTTTTTTGAAATTTTGGGAGCAGATAGAAGAGCTTATGAGGATTCCAAATCTGTTAAAAAAATCAGCAAATTGCTCACGTGAGCTGAGTTATGACCTAGAAAAGTTTCCCTATGATTAAGCAATTTCTCGTGAGATTTTTTCACGAAATAGTGTATTTCTTTTAAAACAATAGATTTCAATCAGCAGTGGGGTAAAGTGGTAAAATGGCAAGTTCAGAGGAGGAAGGTTGTAGGTTCGATTCTCCCGATCCCAAAAATTTTGCAAAATTTTTTTTGTTTAATTTTAAGCTGCCATAACTGGCTCTGGAATAAAATTTACGCAATTGAAACATGTTTTTCGGGAATTTCTCGTTATGAATAGGCATCTTCCAGAATGAAAACATACATTTAATTTGTGAAGAAATTCACAAATGGTTCATCGAAGATTTTTCAAAATTTTTTTTCAAATTTTTTTTGTTTTTTAGTGAAAAAACAGTTGAGGATTCTGAACACATCGGTGGCATTCGATGACAAACTGCTGGAAACATATGTTCTTGGCACAATACGCGCATTTGACCATTGACAATGTTTTGCACCCAGATAATTGGCACTGTCCATAAACTTTCCGGTCGAAGCAATATTGAATTGGTCTGTCACATTTCGGAGCGCAACTGTCCACATAACCGTCCTTCTCTAAAGTCCTTCTCATTTCTTTGCGCATATTCCGCCAAGTTCTTCATGAACTTCTTGAATTGACGGAATATCAAAAATTCTGAATTTTCTGAAA